AGACTTTTTGGGGAACTGAGAAGTTGCCCTGAGTAATGGTTAAAAATGTGGACTCTGGGCTGGGGTTGTGGTTGAGTGGTAGAGAGCTGGTCTCTCACGGGTAAGGGTTGGATCCTCAGCATCACATAAAACTAAATAAACAAAATAAAGATATTGGGTCCTTCTACAACTAAAAAAGTATTAAGAAAAAAAAAAAAGAATGTGGACTCTGGAATACACTGCTTGGGTTCAAACCCTGGGGTGGCCTATCAGCTATGTGATTATGCACAATTTCATTGCTTCCTCTGCCTCTGTCTGCAAAATGGGCATAATAATAGTTCCTACCTCAAAAGGCTAAATGATTTTGAAGAGACAAATAATTGTTGAGCAGTTGAGTTGAAATGGCCTCATTAGGTGCCTTTTTGTGCCACTGTTCTTTTTTTGATACATGAGCTACCTTGAAATTTTTAACGTTCTCTTTTCTTTTTGCCCTAAATGACAGAATTTCTCATTATTTGTATTTAATGACATTTGCTATCATCTTTTTTACTAGAAATCCTGATTAAATTATAAAAATTACTAAGAAATTGGATTAACTTTAAATCTACAAAGGACATCGTTTTGTAAAGAAAATACAGAAGAATTTTTTATAGAATTACTGCAAATAAAACCAGTTATAGTAAATAACAATTTACTATATATAAATAGTATAACTTACTATATATAAATATAGTAAACAACAATTTCTTTTTATAGTTAAAAAACAAAACAAAACAAAACCATAACCAGCTCTTTGTTAAAAAGAAGCAACCATTGTTTCCTGGAGATGACTTATTCTCCTGCTTGAGTCTTGAATTTGGCTGGGCTGCATGTGAGTTTATTTTCTTTCCCTTCAATATGATAGCAATAAGGTGGAATGATAGTATGTTAATCCACAGGAAGAAAATAGTCTCTGAATTTACCCTAGGTCTCGAAATCAAATCTGACTTATACCCGTGGGCAGTGTGTGGTGTCGGCTGGGTCTGTATCATTGTTCTGAAGTTTGTACTGATGTTCTGTGATTAATATGTTCCAGCTGTCTGGGTCACTGCTTTGGAGTACTGTTTATTTGCAGTAGTGATGCTGCAAAGAGGAAAGGCTTTCCCTTTTGTTGGTTGAAAGCTTTCCTTGTAATTAGTAAAACAAGCATGCCTCTTATTTGGAGAGAGACTGGAAAGGCGGCTAAAGAGTCAATTGTACACAACCACTTTGAAAAACAATTTGGCAATACTTGGTGGAGTTGAACATGTACAATCCCAAGCCCTGCTTTCCTCTCCTAGGTATATACCCTGCAGAAACTCTTGCCTGTGTGCACCAGGGAATAAGCCCTAGAATATAAATAGCATATTATTCAGAATAGTAAAAAATGGAAAAATCCCCAGAGGATCCTCAGTGGTAGAAAAGAGCTGGAGATTGCAGGTATGTTTACACCAGGAGAGCTAGGTGGTGGTGAAAAAAATGAGTGAACTACAGCCACATGAGTCAATAGGAGTGAATCTCAAGATCAAAATTGCAAGGGAAGAGGCAAGTCTTATAAGAATATGGGCTTCTAAGCTTATTTCCAGTATAGGCTTATTTTTATTAGATTTAAATTAGGCAAAACATAACAACATACTGAGAACACATATGTGGTAAAACCCTAATGAAGAACAAAAGAATAATTGTCTCAAAATTCAATGGTGAATCTTGGTGGTGGGGTGGTGGTGAAGAATGAGTGGGGGAAATGCAGTCAGGTAGGACACACACGGGGCTTCCAAAAACAAACCAAAATCAAATGCCAACTGGATATTGAGGATTTATTCTATTGTTCTTTAAGCTAACATGTTATTATATTAGTTATCCTTGCATAACAGATTACCTGGAGTCTTTGTACACACTTCATGTGTGTCTGTGTGTAGGTCAGGAGTCCGGGAGCAGTTTGGTCAGGTAGTCTGATTTAGGGTCTCTCATGAGGCTGTGGTCAGCAATGAGTGGGGCTCTGCCTCCAAGATGACTTATAAGGCTGCTTCAGAGGGCTGGATTTCTTGCTGGTTCTTGGGAAGATACCTCAGTTCTTTACCACCTTACCTGTCCTCATATCACCACAGTCAGCTTCCCTCCCAAGACAGAATAAGACGGACACTGCAAAGTCTTTCAACCTAGCCTTTGAGGTCTCACTTCACCATTTCAAAATATGATGGTTTTTACACATGCCAGAGCTATTCAGTGTGTAAGGGGACTGGCTAGGAGAATACAGGAATACTGGAGGTGGGGATCACTGGGGGCCATCTTGTAGTTATGCACTTGAAAATATATTTCACAATAAAATGATTTTAGAGATAAACTAAATTGGTAAGTTTATTTCTTTATTAAAATTTTTTTTTAGTTGTAGTTGGACATAATACCTTTTTTTATTTATTTTTATGTGGTGCTGAGCATCAGATCCAGTGCCTCGTACCTGCTAGGCAAGCGCTCTGCTGCTGAGCTACAACGCAGCCCCAAGTTCATTTTTTTTTTAAGAGAGAGGGAATTTCAATATTTATTTTTCAGTTTTTGGCGGACACAACATCTTTGTTTGTATGTGGTGCTGAGGATCGAACCCGGGCCGCACGCATGCCAGGCAAGCACGCTACTGCTTGAGCCACATCTCCAGCCCAAGTTCATTTTTTGGATAGTAATGTTATAGACATTCAGTTAGATGAGAGTTACTGCTAATAGTGAATGTGCCAGAAGTGAATGGGGCAGAAGAAATGTCAGTGATATAAAACCAGAGTGGCATGAGTCTGTGTGACAGAAATATGCCTGTTGCGGGACATCAGGAAACAAACCTCAGTAATACTTGTACCAGGAAATGTGATATAGAAATGGGATTATGTGTGCCTAGACTTCATTTTGCCTGTGCCTACATCTGGTGAGTCTGGGACAACTAATTTTGAAGAGAATTCTCCAGAACAAGGGCCATTGTGATATTCAAATCCCTGCTTTCTCCCAAGACCATCTTTCATAAGAATGGAGAATCCATCTTCTTTCCCCACTTCTACAGCCAAGCTGGAAATGATCTAGGCACCTGAGGATAGGTGTTTAGCTTAATTCATGAAGCTATTGCTTTTTACTCCACAACATAAATTTGTTTTAATAGTAACAAATTTTAAATTCTTTATTTGTTTAAACTTCCCCCACCAAAATCTTGAGTAAGAGTGATGTTTCTGGAAAGTACTTCATGCATTTCCCCTTTATTTTGTGTAGCTGAAGGCATTAGCTGCATGGTAAGTATTCCTGGGGGGTCCAGTGTGCCCAGTTTGTGAGGTGGTGAGTCACATTGTCTCTCCTTTGTAGATCCCAATGTCCTTGGAACAGGTGTTCCAACCTTCAGGTGAGGGAGCAGCCTGATGAGGGTCTCTGGCTTTTTAATCATACTAACAAGCTGACATAACAGGACCAAAAACCCGGTGCAGGGGCTCCCTGACTGGCTTTCCTCAGGCTTTTGTCCCCCCCTCCCTCGCACATGTTAAACACAGAGATAGAGATATCTTCCAGACCTTGTGAGTGCATCATGTAGTGACACTGCCTCCTCCCCTACAGTTCTGGTGCTGTTTTTGTCTTTATTTGTGGCGCTGTTTCTCTGCTTTTTAAATTGTACTGTATTTTGCATTATAAACAAATGAAAGTCCTCAATAGCAAGAGAGAACCGCCTGTGGTTATGGCAAAGATAAAAACCAATAGGCGTATGATGTGATGCTTGCTTTTTCACTTCAGTTGGGCAACGGTGCTTTTATGAGAAAGAAGGGAGAAAAATGAAGTGCATATGTATATATATATACAATGCCAAAATTACATTAAGGTTATTGTGTCTACAAAGGAAGTATACTCACTGGTAATAAGTATTGTAATTGGCAATGACGATAGTATTAGTGGTACTATTAAGATGATTATGAATATATACTCTCAGAAAATAAACTGTAGCCCATACCCCCATTTCTCTTATGTGAATATGTTGTTTGGCTATTTGGTGCTGGGGTTAGTTTTCACGTTGGTGGGGTGGAGACAGTCCATATAGTCAGACAGATCCTGAGCCTGGGTAAGCAGGAGTTTCCTTTCTGCTAATACATTATCTTTGACACTGGGCTGCCTTTTCTGGATCACAGGATCAGTAAACTCTGCTTAGGGCTGTGGGGAGGATCGAATGTACTAGATGGTGCCAAAGCAGGAGCTATGGTGGTAGCAGTCTGATTACACATTTCAGGCCATGATGCCTCCTTGCTCTAGAGCATGTGCTGGAGTGTATAGTGTGCTGGATCTAAACACTTTTGCCTGAAAGGATTTGGGGTGGTTTAGCCATTTCAATGTGGTTTTAAGAGGGTCAACTGGATGCCTTCTAAGTATGGTCTCAAATCCAAAATCAGAGGGAAGCTCAGGTTCTTCTTGTGCCAGTTTTTGTTTGAGAGAATATTTGGGCTGTGTCACTGCCCTGAAGTTATGTGAATTAAAAGAAATTCTCTGCAACAAACTTGCAGCTCTGACACAAGGAAGACCTGAAATGTGGCACGATGACTAAAGTCAATAGCAATGTATTACATGTTTGAAATTTGCTGAGAGTAGATCTCATTACACATTTGTGGAACGTACTTTCCACAAAAAATGGATGTGTTAATTAGCTTTATTATGGCAATCATTTCACAGTGGAAAAAAATATATAAAACATCACATTCTATATCCTAAATACATGCAACTTTTATTTATCAATCATATTTTAATAAATATTAAAAATGAAGTTACTGAGATACTCCTTTGTTCTGGAATTTCCTGATTGGGTGAGGCTGATTTATCACATTCAATATATGGTCAGTTTTTTTTCTCTTTTCACTTCTCTCCCTGTTTTAAAAAACGTTACAGCAGTATTTTAATCTAGATGCTTGCTATGTATTAAGTACATTTTATCAACTGAAATAGCACTAACAATAAAAATCCTTGGTGATAGCATGTTGTTTTGCTTCTTCTTGCAGGGCGAAGAAGGTGGCATGAGCGACCCCTGAATGTGCATTTGGGCATATTTAGCCATTTGGTTTTGATTAGGAGAAAGAAGACGGCCATCCCTGTGAAAGGTAAAAAAAAAAAAAAAAATTATATGCAGCTTTTTACTATTAGAATTTTCAATCATACTGAAGAGTTAAAAAAATGTACAGTGAACTCCTATGTACCTACTACCATTAGATTTAATAGCTATTAGTATTTTTGCTACCTTTTCTTTGTGTGTGTGTGTGTGTGTGTGTGTGTGTGTGTGTGTGTATGTGTATGTTTTATACTTTTTTTTTTTTGGCTGAAATGTGTGAAAGTAACTTACAGACATATGAATTTCTCCCAAATGCGTGGGGCCATAATTCCTAAAAATAATAATGTTCTCCCTTGAGAGATATTTTAGGATATTCATAAACTCTGTGGTACAGAATTATTTAAATAGCTTCTAGTAAAGGGTCTAACTTTGAGTTATGTTCCCTTCATAGTTGATAAAAATAAAGTCAGACTAAAAAATTTAAACAGATTTAATTAATGGACAGATAAAGCAGTATGAATTTGTTTGATATAAGAAACATGAACATGAAGGTGTGAAATTTTCCTGAGAGAGAAGGATTCCATACTTTTTTCATTCCCTGAAATCTGCCTATCCGGCCCCTATGGATGATGTTTTTTGGTTGCGTCAGTGGATTTGATCACTGCCTTTACCCCATTCTGATCAGCATTCTTAAGTACACCAGTCCCTGTGATCTAATGTGAACAAAGGTCTTAAATGATTTTTTTTTTTTAAATCTAAACTTGTAGGAGAATGTGGGAAAATTATGAGTGGTGATATGAAATTGAGGTTTATATATTTAAACCAACATTAGAGAATAAAATTAGAGAGAATAAAAATTAAAACATTAGAGAGAGTTAAAATGATTCCCAACTTGACTACCTGAATTGAAATTTTATATAGAATCTAAAAGATGTGTTCTGCAATGATTGCAGTTCCTGATCATTACACATTACAACCGATTACATGACCAGTTAGCTGCGATTCTTGCAGGGTGGCTGTTGACGGTTGTACATTCCAATCTCAGTGATAGTTTATTTATGATACCTCTCTCAAGTGTTCCCTGTGTGTTGAAACATTGTTTTGTTTCTTTCTATATTTTGAAGTATTTCTTTATAGACATTTATGAACTGAAGTTGCCCATCTTTAGCATATTTTAAAAGAAGTCTAAGCGAACCATTTAGGGCAATAGTGGCTTCTTCTACTGTCCTTTTTCAATTTGACTAAAAGGTTAATGATTTGGCTGGGAATGTGGCTCAAGCAGAAGCGTGCTCGCCTGGCATGCGCCGGGTGCTGGGTTCAATCCTCAGCACCACATAAAAATAAAATAAAGATGTTGTGTCCACGAAAAAACTAAAAAATAAATATTAAAAAATTCTCTCTCTTAAAAAAAAAAAGGTTAGTGATATCAATAAAGGTTATTCAAAGGAAACATTCAGAAGGAGCTGTGTCTGGAATCACAGGTAGCTTGGAATGATCTAGGTTGCTTTCTCATTCTTTGGCCTCTGTATGGTTATGCTTTGAAAAGTTGAGTGAGCAGGGAAAATGATGGATGAAGGGAGGGTTTATGGAGTCCAGTATTGCCTGGGTCATTTAGGTAGGGGATATTTAAAAAAAACAACAACCTTTTTTTGAAGTATAACATGCCCACAGAAAATACACACAAGTATGTAGCTCAATCTCATTTCACAAATTGAATACACCTGTGTGACCAGACCAGCACCCAGGTTAAGAACATTACCAACACAACGTCATTCCTCCTTCTAGACACTACCCTGCTTCCTCCAAGGAAAACTACTGCTTTGATTTTGAGAGTGTACATTAGTTTTGCTTGGGTTTCTTTTGCCCACATGTCTGTGTGTGTGTGTGTGTGTGTGTGTAAGTGTGTAAGTAATACATAATGCAAATTGTACCTTTTTGCATCTGTTTTTTTTTTTAAATTCAATAATGTATTAAAAAGTTTACTCCCTATTGTTGCCTATAGTTTTGGATTGTTGATTTTCATTGCTGTAGAGTGTTCTATTGTAAGAGAATAGTATAGTTTATTTATTCTGCTAGATATCTGTAAGTATATGGGGCACCCTCTACCAGAAATGGGGATTAAACAAGATTTTGTCCTCACTGTGGTTACAGTGGAGGTGATCTTAGGTTTCCAACCTCTGCCCAGCTTCTGCTGGATATGAAGGAGATGTTCTAACTTCTGATAAGAGAGCAAGACACATGTGCAAGAGACGTGTATGGTTTCTTCAGTCCTGTCATGATTTCTGCTGCTCTTGCTATGACTCACCATGTCCCTTTCACTTTATTCCCTGCAGGCACTAGTCTTCTGTATTCTCGTCTGCCATTCTTACTCTCTGTAGCTCTTCTGGGGAGACTGTGCCATCAAGGAATATTTAAAGCTCAATTTTACATGTTAGAGGAGGGCAAAGAGTAGAAGGTTGTGGGCTTGCACTTGAGGAGCCCATGTTGGGGTTGTGTCTTCACAGTTATGGACGTGGGCCACACTCCTGGAAACCAGCTGTGCTGTAGAATTCAGGGATGTAAATGCACAGACTTAGATGGGACCTGTCTGGTGACAGGACTGAGATTATCAGGGAGTGATGGGCAGCTGTGGAATCAGGATATATATTCCCTGGCCAAATTTTGACCCAACAAAGCATGTTGGGCAGAATTTAGTGAGTTTACCAATTTCTTTCCCTTTTTAATTTTTTTATTCTAATTTGTTATATGTGACAGCAGAATGCATTATAATTCATATTACACTAATGTAGAGCACAATTTTTCATATCTCTGGTTGTATACAAAGTATATTCTCAGGAGAGTTTAACAGTTTCTAATCTTTAGGAAATAAAGGGTTATTATAGAAAGTGTTCCTCATGAGATTTGGATGTTTCTATGGTCAAATTCTGTTTTTGTAAATAAGGTCTTATTCAAATACAGTTGTGCTCATTTGTTTACGTATTGTGCTATAACAGTAGAGTTGAATAGTTGCGAAAGAGACCAGGATTGAGTTGTTGGAACAGTGACCATATGGCCCACAAAGCCTAAAATATTTACCATCTGGCCCTTTACAAAAAACTTTGCCAGCTCCTGCTTTACTTCATAAAAGAAGAACATAGTAATCATAACCTCTGTAGTCATGTAATAGATTGAGCCCATTAAATTTATGTTAATGTCTTTATTCATTCTTTCATTTATCCATTTATCTATCCATCCATTTATTCAACAGATATTTAGAGTGCCCATTAAATTTTATGTATAAAATGGTGATAACTAGATAAATTTCTTACCTTATGAAATTTATGTAAAAATTTTGACTTATGAATTTGAAGTTCCATTCTAGGATTGTGTTTTCTATTAATTGAAATGAAAGAATAATATGGAAATAGAAGTACCAGATCCTCAATTTTAAACTAATATGTCCATTGTCTTCATTAGTTTTATAAATTTGATTAAACACTTATTCCCTATAATTTAATGGGTACTTCAGTGATGAGTTACATAGTGTTACATACATACCAACTACTATAGTTCTGAGGGTCCTGATTATTTACATGTGGTAACTCTGACCTGCCTGAGAGCAGCCTTGTTTGAAGAAGGGCTGAAGAGCATTTCAAGTGCTTATCCAAAGCAGGCCAAATAGACCTCTAATTGTATGCTAGTTTAATAATAAATAATAACCTCATCAGAAAGAACAGTAAACCAAGAAAATAAAGTTTGGAATGTACTGTAACAAATTTATCTCTATTGGAATGCTTATCTGTTTGTGTACTCAAGGTCATAAAAGATTATTTCTGCTTCAGAGAAGTCTATAGGAGGCATTGTAATGAACACAGAAAATACAGAAACATTTGTTACATTTTTCTAAGTAATGTGCTTTTTTTGGAGGGGGTTACTGGGGACTGAATTCAGGGGCACTCAACCACTGAGCCACATCCCCAGCCCTAGTTTGTATTTTATTTAGAGACAGGGTCTCACTGAGTTGCTTAGCACTTTGCTTTCCTCCTGCCTCAGCCTCCTGAGCCACTGGGATTATAGGGGTATGCCACCATGCCCTGCAGAAATGTGCTTTTAACATCTTTTTAACCCATTTAGCATTTTCATATGTGCTCATATATGTTCATGGGTGGACACTAAGCTTTGGGTGACTTGCCTGTTCTTTGCCCCAAGATTGTCTTCAGATCAGCCCAAAGGAAATAGTCAAATCATACCAATGAGCCATCATAAGCCATGAAGGCTGCATGACCTTTTAGCTCAAGAGGTCTTATAGGAAATGAGGTTGGACATTTATTTGGAAGTTGTAGTTGCAGTTACTTAGCTGTGTGTAATAATTCAAAGGTGTAAAAATGCATCGCCCGGCTGTCAGACGTCAAATGGAATGAATGCTTTTTGCCACCATTTGAGGCAGTGATCTGCATGGGGGTGCTTTCCTCTGAAGTCTCAGACTCCTGAAGGAACCACAGAGAGGGATTATTAGCTAGTGCAGTGAATCAATGATTCAAACTCCAAACTGGTTTGTTTTGTGGCTGAATTTTGATAAATGAAGTTTAGATATAGTTGATTTGCTTGAGGAAGAAGAAATTATTTATATCTTCTATGGTTTGGATAAGGTTTGTTCCTGAAAGATTCATGTGACAGAAACTTGGTCCTTAGTGTGAAGGACAATGTTGGGACTTTTAAGAGATGGGGCCTGGTTAGGTCAGTTGGGGTGTCACCCTCGGAAAGAATTGATGCAGTTTTTGAGGGAACCTGGTTGGTTCCTTTGAGAATGGGTTGTTGGAAGGGAGCCTGGCACCTTTGCTGGATCCCTCTCCTGGATGCGCTCCTCATCTCTCTTGCATGTGCTCTTGCCATTGTGATGCCATCTTCTATGAGGCCATTGCCACAGATAGGCAGATATCAGTTTCATGCTTTTAACCCTTCAGACTCTTTTTCTTTACCAACCATCCAGTATCAGGTATTTTGTTATAGTAATGAAAAATGGACTAATACAGTATCCATTCACATCTTCTTGTATTTTATAAAATTCGATCC